GGCGGCAACCTAGTCTTACTGGAAATGGTTGCCCCTAAAAGTTAAATTGTCGAGAAATGTTTTGCGGTTTTGTCGTCGAGTTTCCAAAGAACAATTTATTTTGCTGATTAATTGGAGTGGTCTTACAAGTGGGCGGGGGCGGAGGCGAATGCAATTTGGCGAATCAACCAACCTCTGACCTTCGGCAGGGGGTGCTACGGGTGATGTTGCGAGCAACAAGGGATCCGATCCCATCAAGAGGATGCTAACACAAAACGTAAACAAACACTTGTCCATGGCTAGGCTAGGTCGGGGCTACGATTGCGAGTGTGTCCTCTTTCCCCTCAACCCACACTAAAAGCTTCTTCTGGCGCAGGCGCTGTAGCTTTCTCTCGCTCTCTCCCGCTCTCTCTATCTACGGCTCTCTCACTGCACTTGCACTGCAGACGGAGCTTCGTGTGACGTCACACGCCGCCAAAAACGAACGGTACTCGAGCCAAATGCCAAGGACCAGCCGCTGAGTCTGTCGTCCTGCTCAGTGCCGTTAGAGATATTCGCCAAGTGAGACGTGCCAAGCAGTGCAGAAAAGCAGTTACAAATACATCCACCCACACGCGTCCACATACACAAATACATACACATACAAACAGTCGTGGAAAGGGGTGGTTGTGCTTGGGCGTTCGTGTGTGTCAATAAAATCAGGAAGAGACGGCGAGCGTCGAGCGGTGAGTGGTGAGTGAAGAGCAGACACGACCACAGAAACTTTTGGCCAACTCAATGAAAACACCAGAGCATCCAACAAATTAGGCAAAAAAAACAACCCAAAAAGCCAGGAAAAAAAAAAACCAATTATTGACTTTAAGTTCCACGTGGAGTTTGTTTTTTGGTCAGAGGTCGACAGGAGTTTCCAGACCTTCCGTGGCAGACTCCTGGGGCAGTTGTAAATTCACCGCCAGAGCGAGTTCCGTTCGGCCGCGGCACAATGAAAACAAAAACACAGATAACAGAACACAGAATAGAGTTACAGCAAGCTAGATTCCATCTAAGGAAAGGTTATTGCGATAAGCAGTAGAGGCATCTACCCAACGAGGTTTACCTTTCCATCTACATATATGGGTTGTGTCTACAAAGAAATTATTAATTTGTAAATAGCGTGAATATTAAATATAAAACTACATTTTATTGAAAATACCTCAATGAAGGCTTCGGTGGAACAGTGAAAACAATCAAACAGTGGGAGGAGGAACAAAGAGAAACCGCAAGCAAGAATTCGGTCAATATTTGAGTGCGTACGCTGTTAGCAAAGAGGGAAATTTTTTGGCATTTTTATGCTGCGGCTGTTCTTGTTTTTGCTTTGGTTGTTGCCTTTGCTGTTGCTTTTGCTTCTGCTTTTGCTTTTGCTGTTGTAAAAGCAGCGAAGCATCCATAGCATAAAGGGAACAAAATCTGTATGGAAATAAATTACGCACTATTTTGTTTTTGCCGTTGCTGTTGCTGCCTGCGCGCTGGCTGGTTGGGGAATTTCTGTGCTGTGGGACTTGTGGGATTTGTGAATGAATATTATAATATGATGTATAGGGTGAGTGTACATATATTTTTAAGCTCATTTTTGCTTGCTTGTGGACGTCTGATTGCGTTGCCTCACTCACCTATTCAGATTATAGAAATCCTGATTAATTTCAGCGTGATGTAGCAATCAAGCCATAACACATGTAACTGTCAGTAGACACGACACAAGCACTCCGGAAACGGTCGCTTGGGAACCTATTTATGTGTCACACATCGCTTTGTTGGCAAGGGGTAAGCATGGTGTCGGAAATTGCAAAAGGTAAGGGTACGGGTGCGGGTATCCTTCAAGATCCAGAAGAGCTTGATAAAAATGTTGAAAAATCCGATGTAATTCCTGCACATTGCATGCTCCACATGTGTATGCAACGCATGCTCTGACCAAGGAAACATGCATCATGTGAGGCAACATAAATTAAAATCCCAATCCTAGCGGGGCGTAAACGGTTCAGAGCAGCGCACGATGTTTTTTGCGTTTTATGACGATTATTTGTTACGCATACGCCATGTGGCGCGGCAAGGGCCACCAACAGTGCGTCGCGTAATAAATCGCACGACAAAAACTCAGAAGAAAAGAGACAGGGGGCAAGGGGGAACGTGAAACAAGCAAAAGGGTGCAGGCTAAGGACCCAGCCAAGAGTGAAGGCTGTGGAAAGAGCCAAGCAGTGGCCAGGAGACTGAAGGAAAACTGAGGCTATTAAGGCAAAAGACTTAAAGACTTGCGGGCCATGCCATTCTGCCACCCACTGTCGGAGAAGGCATCCGACACACCCAAACGCACACATCCGTTTCCGGCTCCACTCCTGTGGCTGCACCAGAGGCAAAAACAAAAACAAAAGCGTCAACGAAAACTCACTTAGTAGGCAGCCGCAGTCTCTGCCTCTCCGTTGCTGCCATCTGCCAGGCAGACTCTTCTTTGCTCCTTGCTCCTTGGTCCCGTCCAGACTCACTTGACATGCTCTTAATGCCAAATGAAAACATACGCTCAAGGACACCGAGGAAGCGCTTCGTTCCACTTTTCAGACAACCGACAGTCGAGAGTCGACAGTCGACAACCGCCAACCACCCTGAGCCCGGAGCCCGGAGCCCGGAGCTCCTCTCGTGTGTAAATTTTTAATGTTGCCAAGAACAAGCACAGTAGCCCCCAAATGTAGGTTATCAAATTGTGTTCAAGTTGTCGTTGCCAACCCCTCGAAGCGAACTTTTAGGCCCCAAGCCCACACCCAAATGCAAACCCACCCCTCGAAGCAGGGGAGTAACATTTTAAATGATTTTGTGGCTGTTGTTGGTGTTGCCGCCGCTCTGACCCGACTGCCAATTGGGTCAAGCATTTACATTTCGCGCCTGGTGCGAATACCAAAGGCATAGTGTTCCCACTCTCAACATTGCCCTGCCTCTGCCCTCGCCTGCAAGGGAAAGTATGCCCCATGTTCCGTGTTGTACACGCTTTTAAAAGTCTTAAGCTGCCTCTCTATTTGGTTAAATGAAACACACACAAATTTAACTCTGCTCTGCCTGATGCTGCCACTAATTAATTGCAAACTAAATGAGTTTCTTGGCAACAAAACTTTATCCATTCCGTGCCGCAGCATGACTGATGGCTGTCAGTTGGTGTCTAACGAGGGTAGATAGGGGGGACTACAAGGAAAGATTCTAACAATAGACGCGGCTCCGCCGTAGATTCAAATTCGGGAATCCAAAACAGAAAAGTTCCCCCTCCTCACATGCTAGTATTCCATTCGAGTGCATGGAAAGCTGGCTGACTGCGAAAGGGTCATACTGTTGACTCGATCTAGTCATACAGGAAATTACGAGTAATACGGGAAACAAGTGTAAACAAGGGTCAACAGAAATGCAGCCAAGTGTTGGTTCTGAAGTGAGTCACCCGCTCATGAGTCACACAGTCGGCTACGTGGAACTTATTTGTTCAAGCTCATCGAATGGTTCCACATCCAAACATCATTTGGCAGAGCCCAGTCCAGGCCATGGCAGACCCCAAAACCCATCCGGCCATCAGTCAATCAGTCAGTCAGTGAGCCATTAAATTCTCACTTGGCGTGTGCAGCCGAATGGATTTCAATGGTCGCCCGCAGCGCAAATCTGTTAATTTAACTTATTAATTTGCAATTGAATTCCCCCCGAAGCTGTTGCAGCCGCTGTCAATGTCAATTATACTCCCACTGCCCCCTGCTGCCACATACCTCATACACACTCGTACTTCAGACATTTGGACCAAGAGTTCGTTAATCATGTCTGGCCAAAATATTGTTCCTACCCCAACTCAGGACACAAGAACGCATTAAGTTACATACATTTTCGATGCGAATCTCATGCAAAATCTCATGCGAATCTCAATATGACAGAGCAGAATATGTTCAACTTTGGTGGATACGAAACGAACGAAAAATAGAATTAGTTGCTCCCTTGGTGTTGTGTAGTTTTGGGGGCTACAATTAGTACGCCTGCATAAATTTCTCCTCCAACTAATCTATGAATGGATAATCTTAGATTATGAAAGCATACTTTTGAAAATATATTTCTTGCTTTGAGTTTATCCTCTCGAAATGTTTCATTTGTGAAAATTGTTTAAAAGATTATAAGAGTAACTTTATGAGGCCGAAATGCTTTAAGCCCATTTGGATCGTTGTCTAGCCTGGGAGCACATACTAAAACCAATTTTGAAGCATACTTTTGCAGGTCTTTGGTAAGTGGCTTACACACACACACACCGATAGAGAGAGGGAGAGAGAGAGAGAGAGAGAGAGAGAGTCATACCACCACAGGAAGGGACGCACAAAAGACCGACCCTAGAGTTTAATTGAATAAGAATGCAACTGCATAAGCACCGTCACTGGCAGGCCACAAATCGAATAACCAAGCAGAAACAGGTCAAGTGCTTCAACTGAACTTGGAGTTGGGGGGCAAACACAGCTGACACACACAGATACAAACTATGGACAAAGGGGAGGGAGGTGTACTCTGGTTGGCCAACACGTTACTTTGAACTGTGATATATGTACATATGTAAACCAATTCTCGCTCTCACACTCGCACTCTAGCATCAACTTGCAGTCGAGTGCACATGAGCGGGAGCTGCCTTTGACTCTGGCAACCGGCAGCCGGCAACTGGCAACTGGCAACTCAGGCACTGAGGGCAGGTCTCATGCGGAGGCTAATTTGCCAAGATCTCACACAAATTACAACCGACGGCAAGGCAGAAGTTTCTGCTAATGCAATGCAAACTACTGTCCAAGTTCGGACAACGGGGAGTGGCCTCCTTTATTTCCGAGCAGTTTAAAACAAGATTCAACAAGATATAAATCCATGTCCGAATACTAAATACGCTTGGAGCATGGAGAGAAAATGTTCGCAAAGGCTCAAATTCTATTAGAGAAACATTTGCGATTGTTATCGCCTTAAAATCTCTTGGATTTAGATATCTTTTAAGCTAGATATCTTTAAGCTCTTACAGGCTAACTCCTTGCTGGACTAAATTAGGGTAGATGCAAGTTCTGAATTGTTGGATAGTTGACAAGCGATTTTCTGCAACTATGTCGAACACTGTCGAAGACAGAGACAGCCTTTAACTGTGTGGAAAGTTTTGCGTGGACAGTTGACAACTTTGAAGGCGTGTGCCAGTGCACAAAAACATTGTTTAGTTCAGTTTATTCCGAAAGTTTGTCCGCCCATTTAATAGGATGCTTCTGAGCCGCTCGCTTTGTAGATCTCCGTCAGATTCTTGAGGAACTTTTCATGCCTGACCAGATCGCAGCGTTCACCCACTGTGCTGATGTACTGCCTGAGTCTCTTCAGGCGGGCGTCGAAGAGCTCCCTCCGCCTCCGCAAATGCTCGTTCATGTCTCGGTTGATGCGGTCCAGAGCGCACTTCAAGGAGCTTGCAGTTTGCCGATGGTGTCTGTCGACGACCAGAGCCACCTTGGCCAAATGCATCGACAGTTGATAGGTCTTCTGTTCCTCCAGAAAGGAGCGACGCTCCCCTGCCAACAGCTGCTTCATTTCCAGCTGCATGAGAGTGGGTTGGGTGCGTTTTCTGTGCAGGCACTTCGGCAGCTCCTCACTCACCGAATCCTTGCAATGAACATAGAAGGCCACGTTGTCGGGACGCTTAAATTCCCCCGCATATGGCTTACCAAAATACTGATACATACTCATAATTTTACATCGAATTTCTTCACTGTTCAAATCATTTTAAAAGCTCGTCAAGTCTGACAGATTTTGCCATGTAAACATGTACTAATCTGAAGCATTTTTGAATCTGTCTAAAGCTTATACACAACTACGAGTATGCTTTCTATGCGCACCATAAATATTCCTATTAAGCAAGCCACAAGGCAGACCAGACCCAAGCCCCAACCCGCAACTTCAGAGAACTTCATCTGTGTCCGTGTGTCTCTGTGTCCGTGCGTCTGTGTGGCTCGGATATAACACAAAAGTTACTTGTTATTATTATGATTAAAGTTTCTGCTTGTGTGCCGCACACCACATTAGTGCTACTTCCCTGCCCCCAAGCATACCCCCATATATATTCCTATGTATATCCTACGCTCATATAAATGTTTGTGGGTTCTCAGTCAAGGTGCATGTGCTGGCTCAGGTGGAGTCTGCAGCCCTTGGCGGCTTAGGTCTGACATATCGTGTGTGTGAGGCAGTCCAGGCTCACCCGTTAGTAGCCCATTTAGAGCATGCATTTCTGGGGATAAAGTGGAAGAGCAAAAAACAGGAAACCCAAACATGACCACAACATATTTTGCTGACCATCTCTTTGCCGATGGTCTGCGCCTTAAAGCGGATTAAAATTGGAATTTTAGAGTGGATGGAATGTCAAAGAAGGGCAGTGGCCATTGAGCTTTTAAGAGCTGGTTGCGTTGCCAATTGAGCCACCAGATATTTTCGGAAGGTGCCGGGGAGCACGGCTTATTAGTGATAGTTACATATTAGCAGCTGTGTCTCCATGTGCGGGTCACGGTACAAGACTGCTACTGGATAACTACTTCCATTTTGCATTCCGTTTCTTTTATGATTCTCCACCGAGTCAAGTTTTGAATGCTCCCAGCCATTTCACTCTTTGTGCTCTGGCAGTCTGCACCTCCACCTCCACCCCAGTGTTCTTCGCTGTCACCCAAAAGGTTGAATGGGCGACTCAACTTTTACTGAGGCCGCAGTGCAGTGGAGAACTGGGTGTTGACATGCAATGCTGACAGAAAAGGAAAAAATAGCCCAAATGGAAGTTTATGGCCAGCACTGGCACTGGCCTACATACCAACCACTAAGCTCGCTCGGGGACCGGACTGACTGCAAAGCTTTTGGTTTTTATGGCCATCAATGGTGGACACACGTGGAGCTGTCCACTCTGAACCCAAATTAGTTCCGTCTCCCAGAGGACAAAAGAGAAGCAAGCGACAAAAAATTGAATATCCATCCATATGACGGGCTATAAAGTACCCTCCATTCGGATTTTATGTAATTTGTAATCTATGTGATGGATGCATAAATGTCTCTCAAATTGTAGGGCATTCCTCTTTACAGAGTACCTTCAATGGTTGGTTAGGCGGTTGCAAACTTCCTATAAACATTATACACTCCGGAATAAAAGTGGATTTATCGTTTACAAAAAATAACCGCAGAATAAACGGCAAGTAACAAATTCCCATTTGTATTTATTTGCAGGTCAAGAGCTGACAACAGAGGCCCTCATGCTCGTTATTGATAGAGAACTCGCATAGAAACGTGAACCAGCAGAGTCTTAGAGAGTACTCTTAGCAGAGTCTTCGAGTACGTATTTTCCTGGTGCCCCTGTGTTGTGTGTCCTGTGTCCGTCCTGCCTAGCGCTAAGTCAGAATGTTTGAGCCTCGATTAGAGCAGATTTGTGGCAGTTGAAAGTTGTTTTCTAGCCCAGCAATAAGAAAATAGCACACGCACACACACAGAGAGCACACAGAGCCGCCCTCCCACCCACACGGAGACACGAGATACTTTTGTGCTGGTGTGAGTGCGTGTTTAATGTAGTGCTGTGCCTGCGCCTGTGTGTTTGTGTGGTGTGTGTGGCGTGTGTGGCGTGTGTGTGTGTGTAGGTTTTTCCGTGTTTCTGAAGCATGCAAATAAACGGTCTTGCTGCCGGACCCACGATGGCCGCATCAGAGCCACCAGAGCCACCGCCGCGCAATCCGGATCGCATAAATGCCTCACTGCACAAGCTCAGCGAATCCGTAAGTACCACCAGCAACCCCGCAATCCATCGCCACCCAACCAACCCTCCTCGCCACCTCCGAAATTACCCCCCAAAAACCTCAAGCTCACTGGATATTTTACCTAATTGGACTCACTCATTGCTTGTTGGAGCGGACCCTGGTTGGGTTGGGGGCCACGGCCGAGGGGAGCCAGTCCTCTCCAATTGCATGCCGCAGCTTTCTCCTCCCCCCTTCTTGGCACACTATTTCATCTTCCACTTGTAGAACAAATTCCCCCCACATCTGCATTTGCATCTCTCCCTCATTGACTAATTGACAACTTATGGGCTCTCGCTGTCTGTCGCTATCTCTCTCTCTCTCTCTCTCTCTCTGCTTTTGCTCTATTTCTCTCTTATCTGCTCTTATTTACCTGTGGCCATCAGAATCATTGAATCTAAAGTGGATGTCATGAAATATCTTCAATTTACTTTGCAGAAAATTGTCAAATCGCTGGACTCGAGCCTGATCAAGGAGAAGTCCGGCTCCGTTAACAACAATAAGCCCATACGGCCGCTGCTTTCTCTGGATAACTCTGGAACGGCCTCCACCTCGGCAGCAGCAGCATCCGTAGCAACAGCAGCAGGAACAGGAACAGGAGCAGGAGCAGGAGCAGCAACTGGAGCTGTGGGAGGAGCACCTGCCAAGCCTTCGCCCCTGGTGCTCACCACCAAGCGAGACCTTACGCCCAGCAACGACACCAGCTCCTCGCCGGCCAGCTCTAATGGCAGCAATCAGACACTTACTCCACCCATGACCATCGACAACCAGCAGCAGCAGCAGCAGCAGCAGCAGCAGCAGCATCGACCACCGTCATATCCTGGGAAGAGCGAGGTCGTCGGTCTGCCACAGCCACAATTGCCGAATGGCATTGGGGGCACAGCCAACGCCAACTCTATACCCGGCCCAGCCATGATCCATGCGAATAACTCAAATTTAATTGCCGCTGGTCACCTGGCACAGGGAGTTGGAGTCTCCTCCACGTCCACGTCCACGTCCACCGCCAACAGCTCCTCTGGCGGCAGTGCCCTTAATGCTGGTAAGTGTGAGTGTGTGCGTGTGTGCGTGTGTATTCGTATGCGGGTGTGGGTGTGTGTGAGTGAGTCTGAGTGGTGGAAGGCAAAGCCAATAAGGGAATGGGAACGGGAAGATGCGTGCAAATGCATTTGTAATGGGCAAAGGTGAAGGGGCAGCAACGGGGGAGCAATCAGCAGATTGCTGCGGGCTGAAGAGCCAAAGGAAGGGAATGGTTAAATCAGCAAAAGTGAAATTAAATCAATGTCCGCAGATTGAATACTTTCAAACTAAAGATTTCATTTAACCAATAATAATTTGTTTTAAATCCTGATAGCAACCAGTAAATATTTAAAGATTTAGTGACGCAATAAACTCATAAATCCATTTATAAACCATGCTTTAAATTTGCAGAAACAGTCCCTTAAACGTGTTTACATTTTCTAGTTAATTTGTAAAATGCAACAAATCCTTGCCTTGAGGATGAGCACATTGACAAAATGTTTGGGTTTTTAATAAAGTTGTAACAAAGTAGCATGCGAGCAGCTTGTCTGCTCCGGAAGCCAAGAAGCAAACACTCTGACCGCACAGAAATTTAATGCTGTCCGGGGCACGATGCAACCTGCAAGTTGCAAGGGGCAAGTAGATGATAAAAGCCGCACAGCATCACAGTCGGGCGTCAGTGGGGAAGACATAACACAGACCACAGAAACAACAACGACAGATATTGGGTAAACCACAGACACAACATCAACGAAGGATGGAAGATGGCCAAGAACAGGGTTAGGGATAGATAGATAGTTCGGCGGTTCTCTGGGATGCGCAGAATGTGGGTGTGTAGTGTAGTGTAGTTTTTCTCCTTTGTTGTTGTTGCTGCTGCGTGTCGGACTGAGATTGGCACTGGGGGCAGCCCAACGCATCGGATTAGATTAGAATGGCAAAGTGATGTACACTTTAAAAATCGGACAAATGGATGGTAATGGCCCTCACTCTCACTCTCCCTCTGGCTCTCGAACTATCTTTGAGTGCTGGAGTTGAGAAGCCACCGAAGCGCATAGTCAGGCTTACCCCACTCAGTAGGTATACAAGTTTGAGAGGGTCCACCTCCGTCCCAGAGTGGACGGCAAAGTTGAAAACTTAAATATTCGAAATTGAGCAGAGAAATGAAGCGGGGAAACTGCTTTCACAGTCCATTCAATGAGAAAATGATTTAAATCTGTTTATTTCGCAAGCCAAACAATACAATTTGATTATGAAATATGTACTCGTACTTTGCGATTTAATTGCGATTGTGATTTCATGCCGAGCATTAAGAGCTAATTAAATTTCCATTCAAGTCTTTAGACAAACGATAAATCCACAAGGAAAAAAATGCCCCACCCGCTCCCAAAACTGGTGGAAAAAAAAAACCATTTTCATCAATTTGTTGACATGTTTGTGCTTGTGAATGTTGTGCCTATGGGGGGAGCAGGTCAGCAGTCAGGGTTTTAGTAGTGAGTATTAAGTGCAATCAATTTAGACCCATCGTCAGTTATGCACAAATATGAGTTTTGTGGGGAGAGTGAGTGTTGTGGGAATAGGTAATCAGATTGTTCATCCCGTAAATGTATTCTTATGAATTCATTATAATTGAAATTACTCAGTTTGCCCGTTCGTTTGCATCTAGATAAATGTTCCGAAATAAATCGATATTTATATGTTTTACCCACCCGTACAGCAGTTCTAATTGTTGTTTATTTACCACTTCACTGTGCGACTATTTGTCCAGTTTGGCATTTTGGATCTCTCTCCCATTGTGTGTTGCAATCTAATTTCGTGCACGTTCCCAAACACCCTACACCCACCCACCCGTGCTCCCCGCTCCGCCTAACCACAATTCGAATCCGAGTGCCTCCTGTCATCATTAGTATCGTATCTCATCCTAGTCGTCATCAGTATCCTTTCTTGCCATTGTTCTTGTTCTTCGTATTGTTGTTCTTGTTGTTGTATGTTCTTTGTTGTTTGTTGATTTGCTTTGTTTGGACTGTACGAAATGGGTCCACCTGCAGCCCCCACCCCACCATCCTTACCAATCGAATCATCCCACCCATCGAAATATCTCCATCTATATATCTACAATATGCAATATACAGTCGACAAGCGGAATGCCAATGATGTTTGCCCAATTGTGAAATTAATGGAACCGGAGTCAATGGCAACCGCAAGAGCAGCTCCAGCCGCATCATCGACGAATATGAATCCATCATTATCGGCCTTCCTGGCTCTGGGGCCACCGCACTCTCCGACATCCGCTGCCTCGGCGGCCCTGCTCAGGCTCGAGTCCTCCTGCGATGGTAATCGCAACGAAGAGACAAAGTTCCGACTCCGAGGTGGTCCGTGTTCGGGTTCGGGTTCAAGCTCAGACTCTGGTCCGGCTTCAGGTAAGTTGAACAGACAATTTTCCGATTTGCTCTGCTCTGCTCTCAGCTCTCTGCTCTCTCTTTTGTTTTGTTCTTTTCACTTTCATCCCAATTTGCGTTCTGTTATTCTTTTTGAACTGAAGCAGCAGCAGCAGCTTCATCATCATCATCATCACAATTAGCCCGCATGCCCAAATTCATTCAATCCTCTTACTGCTCCCCCCCCCCCCAACTGCACGTGCACCAGCTCCTACACCTGCACTTGCACCGTCCATTCCCTGTGGGGAAAAGTAGTTGCACTTGATCCCCATTCAACAGCCTGTCGATTCGTTGCCTTGGCCTGCTTAAGTTATAATTACATGGATTTTAGTTTGTTCGCAAAAACTTTCGTTCAATGCAATGCTTCTGTTCTGCTCTTTTGTGTTTGCCAGTAGCTGTGTAGAGGATTTGGGTAGTTCCCAGTTTATGTTCTTTGGTTTCCTTCTGCGTTGCTTAGTCAAGAAGACAGGCATATGATAAGCGGGGGCTGGGGAACGTAACTGGTTGTGGGTTGGCTTTAGCTAGTCAAAAGCGTAGTGCCATGAGTAGAAAATCGAGGCGCAGGGATGGCAGAAACCATTTATTTGAGCTATGCTTTCCCCATCTGGATACTTGAAACCTTTATGCCAGCCAGCCACATGAGCCTTGAATTATTATGAACTAGCTGAAACTTATCGAACGGCGTGCATCCCATATACTGAGCACCGCTTGTCCGCAGCTTTTGGTAGCTGTAGAAAGCCAAATCGCAGCCAGGACGTTTGTTAAATATTTACTCAATGTTTACAGAATCGGGCATGAAGCTGCGAGAGGAGAACGATCGTCTCAATGCGGAGCTGCTTCGCCTGCGTCGACTTCTGGAGCTCTCCACGGACGGCGCCGTCGGGGGCGTGGATCCCACAGAGGCAGAGTCGCAGGGCAACAACGGAACAGCTGCGCAGGATCGCATCGAACGACTGGAGTCGGAGCTGCGTACGGTCAAGAATCAGCTGCTGACCATGCGGCTGGAGAGAAAGAAGCTGCGAACCGACAAATCCGATCTGCTGGGACAGGTGAAACAGCTGTGCGCCTCGCTGCAGGAGAAGGAGCAGGAGTTGCGCGACTTTATTCGCAATTTTCAGGAGCGAGTGCGAGAGTCGGAGACCACGAATGCCAAGCTCTCGGGCGATCGGGATCGGGAGCGCTTCCAGCTGCTGAAGCAGGCCCGGGATGAGGCCGAGCGCTCACTGGCCCTGGCCCAGCAGCTCTCGGCTCGTGACTTGCAGCTGCAGCGACTCCAGGAGCAGCTGCAGGAGGCACGCCGCCAGCTCACCGGCTGTCTCTCCGACCAGGAGAGTCTGCACTCGTTTGCCCCCCTGACACCGCCCTCTGCGGCCTCCGGAATGCTCAGTCAGATGGCAGCCGGCTCGGGCATGGGCGGAGTCCTGGGCGGACTGCGCGGCACAACCGACGATAGTGGGCGTGGCAACTCGCTGTCGGCATTCAGTGGCAGCCTGAGCGGCGGATCCGGAGCCACAGCCGGCGATCGCAACTCGTGCTCCAATGACTCCGGGCTGCGCAACAGCAGCGACCGGGAGAGCACCGGCGGGGAGCTGAACTTCAGCGACGGCACCTGCGACAATGGACCGTGCATCACCGTGGATCCCGACAGCATTTCCCTCGTCTCCAGCCAGAACATGTATCAATGTGAGTGATCGACTGATAATATCTTATCTCCGAGGAGTTGGAGTTTACTTTTCTCTCCCTTTTCCAGTTGGAACACCCAAAGAACGAAGCCCCACACTGTCGCCCCTGAACTCGGCTGCCTACTCAAGGTACTTTGTTCTTTCTTCTTTCGAAAAGCTAATCTCGTAATTTATTCAACCAAAACAGATCCGTTGAGCAGCTGGGCTCACCCGTGGACCCCGATGGACCAGGCGGTGCTGGCGCCATAACCCGAAAGTTTGCCTGTGCCACAAAGAGCGGGCCATTGGGAGCACGCAATGGCCGTGGGGGTACCTGGGGCAGCATATCGCGTGTGTTTGCTCGGTCCCGCAACAAGAGCAAGGCCCTGTCTGCCGATGGAGTGACCGAATGTGAGTCGGACGAGGAGTCCCCTTTAGGGGGTCAGATTCCATGGAAGATATTCTAAAAAATACTCTCCCTCAGACACCGACTATTCGTGGAATCCGCTTTCGGAGGAGGGCTACGCCGACAAGATTCGCCTGCTGCGCGAGGCCTCCCAGCTGCCGATGGAGCGCTGGCGGGCCACCCAGGTGCTGGCCTGGCTGGAGGTGGCCCTGGGCATGCCCCAGTATAGTGGACGCTGTGCGGAGAACGTGAAGAGTGGGAAGGTTCTGCTGGAACTGAATGACATCGAGCTGGAGGCTGGACTCGGCCTGGCCCATCCCATGCACCGCAAGAAGCTGCGCCTGGCCATCGAGGAGCAGCGGCGACCGGAACTGGTGCGCTATCCACTCATCACCCAATTGGGCCACACCTGGGTGGCCTCCGAGTGGCTGCCGGATATTGGACTGCCGCAGTACGCGGAGCCTTTTCTGCAGTCCCTCGTCGATGCACGCATGCTGGACACACTGTCCAAGAAGGAGCTGGAGAAGTTTCTGGGTGTGACCCGAAAGTTCCATCAGGCCAGCATTGTGCATGGTAGGTGACACATGACACACCGACAAAAGGTGAACGAACCATTAAGGACAGTTTTCATCTGTTTTCCCTCCCACTTTCCGTTTGTTTGTCAGGCATTCACGTGTTGCGCATCGTGAAGTACGACAGGCAGACATTGGCCATGAGGCGAGTGCAATCCGAGACGGTGGACACGGACCCCATTGTTTGGACAAATCAGCGCTTCATACGCTGGGTCCGATCCATCGACCTAGGCGAGTACGCTGACAACCTAAAGGGTGAGTGCATTGATTGCCTCTCGATTATGCCATTCATTAAACCAATTATGGGTTTTTCTCCTGCTCCTTGCCACCATTCCTCCTCCTCGCAGACAGCGGTGTTCATGGCGGACTTGTCGTGCTGGAGCCATCCTTTTCGGGCGATACTATGGCCACGGCTCTGGGTATTCCCCCATCCAAGAACATAATACGACGACATCTGAACACGGAATTCGATGCCCTCATTTTGCCAGCAAGGTGAGTTCGGGCTCGCCCGTCATTCAATCATTTCAAATGTGTGTGTGTGTGTCTGTGTCTGTGTGTGTGTGTGTGCGTGTGTGTGTGTCCTTTGTGTAATCCTTCGGTTTTGACATGTGAAAGTGATCCATAAGTAGTAGCGTAATACAGCAATTTGATTAGTGTATTCTCAGCTTTGATTGAGTTTTTGTTTTGTGCCGTTTTGTATTTCCAACCCCATCCAACCGAAACCCAACCCAACCCCCATCTCTGCTTCAAGAGAGATTACATAACCTTCCAGTTAATGTTCAAGTTTCTGTTGTGATTTATTTTGTTCTGTGAGTTTGTGGTTTTGTTAATCAAATCATTTGTGCACTTTTATTATCAGATCATCATCATCATCAGTCATTGGGGGAGCATCATCATTCACATTATCACTCATGTTTTGATTATCTGGCTATTTCGTTAAGTGCTTTGCTAATCTGTTTATAGCTGCTTCTTAGGTGCATATCATATCCGTCTATTTTTTTTCCCCCACATCTTCTCGCGTCATTTGCCATCTTGCCAACTTGAGCGCTGCAGAAATGCGATATTCTCTGGCTACTAGAGAGCCCGATGTCTTCCACCATTCCACATTCTAAACTCATGCGATGTCATATCTCTGTCATATCTATCTGTCTACTCGCTCGTGCATAAGTATGTCATAGTCTATCGTATCTGAAAAATATTGTACTTTGTTTCTTTGTTGATCATGTTAACGTAAACGTAAACGTAAACGTAAACGTAACGTGTCTTAGACAATCTTTAACAAATAAATGTCCCAGTACTTGCGAATCGCACTAATGGCGGCCTTTCTGTGGCCATGTTTCTCTCTCTTTTCTTTTCCAATCAATATGTCGTTCAATATACATACATACTGCATACTGTGTGTATGTATATGAATTTCTTATATCCGCAATGCAGATACTTAATTTACTGTCAAATGGAAGAGTTTCAAATGGAAAGCTCCCGTCAATTGGCCAAATTGCAGGGCCATTAAACCCACGCGAAACAACAAAAAATTATTAAAAGAAAATGGAAAATCAAATGGGATTCAAAATAGAACTGTTTAGCCAAGCTGATGATGATGGTTATAATGATAATAGCCATAGGGAGAGAACAATAATTGGAGCACAGCGCTAATCGTATCGTCATTACGTATAGTTGATAGTTGAGACACAGAGCAAAGATATTCACACTCCGATTAGTCTTAGTATGTGTAGTATCCGCATTTGTATTCACATTCGTACTCATAGTTTAGTAAGTGAGTGTGCTTAAGGCATCCAACAAGCAACGCAACGCAGAGAGCAACCCAGACCCCCCCACGCTTTGCACATTCGATATTGATAGTAGAAGCTTAAGGATTTTTTGCCAACAGTCAACTCAAGCATTTAATGTCAACGATAAAAGTATGTAGTAGTACACACACATATATAGGGTTAATGCTTTGCTTCAGAGTTAGCTTAAAAAATAACAAAAGTAGAAAGGAATGGGATGGAGGAAATCTTCAACGATCTACCTTCGCCACTAGCCGGGAAAGAGTTAGTTGAGTTGTCCACTGTGATACAGCATCGAAAATGTTGGTCAACGCACAATGCAGAATTGAACGAACCCCTCGAGACCAAAACAACCACATGCATATCACACACACACACATACATACAAATGCATAGACACATACACATACAACATTTCGTGGTTAAAGCTGTAGTAGTCAATTTGTTTGGTTGGTGTGTTGCATACCTTGGTGCGTTTTCTAGCGATTTTGCACTGCGGTCGCCGTCTCCCAATCCTACAAGAAGGAACTCTGAAGCAAAGATGTGGATGTGGATGTGGATGGGTTGGCTGCAGTGCGAGTCGCAAATAGGTGAATTTGATCTTAAAGTCTTTAATTTGGTTGCGCTATTTTGAACTACAATGTCAATTGTAAGTAAAAGTTGCCTACTAAGTAGCTCTAACACACAGAAACACACAGACACAGACATACACGTACGCGTACTCAACAGCAAACTGAAAATCAAACTTATGTATGTACACAACGTATGTGTTATCAATGTTTTATGTAGCTTGAACTAGTGTAATCGTTGTCATCTTACTACAATACAATACCTACTCGTACTCCACTCAAAGTGTGATTGGATTGCAGCCAAAAGGCTTTCAAAAGACATACCAAAAACATCAACCCACTTAACTTAATATGTAACTGGCTGCTGGTTGGTGTCTCTTGATTTCTGTTTTTCTTGCCATTTCGACTTTCTTTTCTGGGGCTGTCTTTCCTCTCAACATACACATACATAGATAGATACATACATAAATCTTTCTCCTTGCTTCCTGTAGGTTTTTTCGCTATGAGTAGTTAACTGTGACAAAATTTAACTGCGAAATGAAAACAGAAAGTTGCTAAAAATATGTATCTTTCAATAAGATAAATTGATTAACCGATTCTTGTCTCTGCCCCGTTTCTTTTTTCATCTTTTCTATACTTTTATCCATCTCCTGCTTTTCCTACTTCCAAATTCAAACTCTAATCGAATCAACGGCTTGTTGTTGTTGATGTCTGTCTCTGGCTATGCTTGATTGTATAACACAATTATTACCACAATAACACGACAACAACCACCTCTCTCTCTCTCTCTCTTTTTCTTTATGTGCATATGTGTGTGTGTGTGTGTGTGTGTGTGTGTGTGTGTGTGCCTGCCTGCCTGCCTGCCCGCCTGCCTCTGTATCACTATATCTGTGTATCTCTGTATTTGTGCCCGCCTGCCCGCCTGCTCGTACTCTCCTACGTTCCGTTCTCTGCTGTGTCTGTGTACTATCTCCATTGTGCCGCCTGCCTACCTATAACAAAAACTTTTGCACAAATCCAATCAACATCCACACACCCACACACACACACACACACCACACACACTATTCGAACCTATGCAAAAAATCGGATATCGACATTGCCATGTTTGTTGTGTAGAGCGACTCTGGGTCAAGGCATCCGTTCAGGTTGCGGCGTAGTGCCCCTGACTGGACCCGGCGGACTGCAGCACTATGCCACAACAGACCGCCGCTCGAGCGGTAGCCTCAGGGTAAGTCCACCACATAAGTCCATCTATAAGCTGGCTCTATAAGCCATAATCGATATTGATATACATATATCCTCCTGTATTTAAGCCTGACTTGACGTGAAGCTTTTGTTGTCTCTCAGTGTCTAACTACTTGTCTCCTCCATATATAATCGAATATTCTGCCCACTAGAGGTGCCACTAAGATCTTTCACACCACAATACGTTATACGTTATACTCCATATCAATGATTGTTTTCTTACATATCTAAGTATGTATGTATGCAGTTTATGTATGTGTACGTAGTCGCAGCTAATAACAACCGACGGCAGATAAGTATGTACTTTGTAGTACTTTGATATAAGCATGTTTGTTTCAAATAATTCAGCTAATCATCAAAAACAATCAACAGCTAATTAACACACTTCAATACTCGCAATATCAGACACACTTTCAGCGAATATTCGAACAAAAGAATTCCAAATTTAGACATACAGCCACAACAAAAGTTTCACGACATTTCCAAACGATAGTTTAATTTGTTTTCTCTCTCCAATCCTTTAAAATATCCAGAAGGAAACAGTTTATATTCCTACGCAGTACTTTATTAATCCAAATTTACATTTGTCTCTCTTTCGTTTCTGCCTGCCCATAGATTTCGGCATGGAAAGGATCTCAGGTGGGTTCAGATCGTACACATTTCCCTTACTACTACTTACTAATCTTTGGACTATTTCTCTTGCAGAGCTCTCTTTCCAAAGCCTTTCGGTTCAATGCTAAACCCCATCGTGCCGGCGATCGCAGCTCCTTCGGCAACTCCACCTCCCCAACGCCTTCGTACAGCAGCAGCGAGGGTGGCGGAGGAATATACGCTACCATAGGTTCGCTGCATCATCAGCAGCACCAGCAACAGCAGCAACAGCAGCACCAGCAGCAACACTATCATCACTTTCTGCCGCCTCCGACTACTGCTCCACCGCCGATTCCCATGGCTGGTGGCAGCAGCAACAACTACAGTCATGGTCCGCCGCCGGGGCACCGCGTGAGCGCCCCGCCCATTGGCAGCCTGTTGGATGGGAGCGGAGTGGATGCCCAGCTGCTCTACGAGCAGAGTCGACGACGCGTGAAAAGCATCAGCGACATTGGAGCATCGACGAGTGCGGGCAGCGTGGGGGCGTGCAGTCTGGGGGGAATATCGGGCTCCTCGGAGTCTCCCGAATGAGAGTGGGAGGCGAATCGGAGCTAGCTAGACAACCACAACCGAAGATACTCAGCTGTATTCCCTTAATAGTCATGTGACGAGTGTCGCCTCTTACCTGTTTATAGTCAGTTAGTGTCCCTTTTCCGTTCCTTTCTGGATTCGAGCTTAGATTCCAAGGCAAAACCAAAAACGCGAGTTCAAGTGTACTCAAGTCAAGTGTCGGACCCACCTTCAAGATGCAAGCAAACAAGAATCAGCAAGTACAGATACATACATTTGTAACTATCTCTACCTATGTCAAGATACAAATAAACGAGTAAGCATTTGATCAAATCAGCTAGAACTACGAACTGCGAGTACATAAGTATATGCTAAACAGGATTCCATATAAGCATGTATGTTGGTGCATATATAATACTTACTAGAGATAATATAGGCTAAGTTAAATCCCTCTCGAAAGCGAATCGACGCCAACACACACACCCCACTAAACCTAAACACAGAATAAACTCGAATAGTTTAATTAATCGTGTGTTACTCTAATCTAATGGTAACTGTAACTGTAATGTAAAGCTAGCTTTAAATGGATTTACAAATGTAATCCTGCGCTGGAGCACTGCCCCAGCTCTAACAGAGAGCGCACGCAGTGCTCTGGCGTCTGGGATTGAGCAGCCACAGGAGCAGACTCTGATGCATGCGATGGATGTAATTACAATTTAGATAAATTGAAATTATTTTGTAACCGAACCTATCGTAGCTAAGCCAATGAAAGTGGAAACCCAAATGGACATGAATGGATGCTATTGAATTCAGTTTGATGAACTGCAGACAGCTGCAATTTGTAAATGATTCCGAGGCATACACCTAAGTATCCTTTGATCACATACAAGTCAAGTAGAGAAACTAAATCAAATACAATGCGAGCCCACTCCAATTCCCTATCCCCAATACCCCTTACACCACCAAAGAGCATAAAAAGTAACGTCAGCCTGCTACAGCCCCCCCGAACTATCATCATATATCGAAATATCCCAGAATGAGAGCGGTATTATGTATTAAGCAGACCAATTTAACTCTAGTGTACTACGGCAAACAAAAGAAACTATCGAATAATGATCAAAACTCTGTTGTAAATAGATCCGTCTTTGATTTGCATTTCTTTATTGTGTGTAGGGGGGGAAGTTCGGCCCGCTACACGAGCAGAACCTCAACGAATTGCATTTGCTCAACTCCAAAACATTTAACCTTCACCAAAAGTAGATGTGCCTTCTGTATCTTCTGTGGCTCGCTGCACCTCCGTGTAGACTCCTCCCGCTCGGATTGCTAGCGTCGATCGCTGTCGTTGTCGTTGTCGTTGCGCGGGCGTCGTGTGGTATGCGGACGGCCCTTGGGCTCTGGAGCTGGAACTGGCTCCGCGGCTGTCAGGGTGCCCAGGCTCCCAATCAAAGCGAGGACACCAAATACAAGGAACAAACTAAACCACTTCATCTTCGCTATATGCTCTATCCGCCACTCTTGGTTGCAAACTGCTGACTGTTCGGCTGTTGTCGAGGCGTTTTATGGTATGGCGGTCGACTGGCCGGCGACCCGGCGAATGCTAATGAAGGGAACTGCCGTCAACATCGTTTACCTTTGGCTGTTGTTTATGTGCGCAGATCAAGCGAGATATCTATCCAAATTGAGTTGTAAATCCAGCGCTAAAAATGGGCGGACATACATTTAGGTAATTGGCTTCACTCACAACTGAACCAAACAATTCTCGATGTCACTTTTCCCATTCCAAGCGAATCTCAACCAGATCTCTGTGTGGGATCTCTCTGGCGATTGTTTGGCCTAATTAGTTGGCAAAGTGCAAAAACATTTTGTACGATAGAAGGTTGGCTTGGCTGTTGATAACTTTATCTAATCATGTGGATGCGCGATGCTTCCTTCTAGCTTGTATTAACAATACTTGATCTCCTAGTTAGGAGGTGAGGAAGTTATTTCCACATACAATTAAATATAAATCGATGGCAAACATTTGCCGAATGTTCAATTTTCAACACTGAGGACCAACATAGGTTCGGCATAAATCGATTAGTTGATAAATTAACAAATATTAAAAATGGAACGCGTAAGATTTAACGAATAAATACAATTTACAGATAACGAAAATGTTAGCTCTAAAGAACGCGGTATACAAAAACCTTACTTAACCGGACTTGTTATACATTTGGACTTCTGATTATACAAATTCTTCGAGCATTTATCGAAAATGCCCCACCGAAGGTCATTTCTATTGGCAATTTATATATGTAAAACTTGAATAATATCACAGCGGCCGTCGTCTGGGATCTGCATCAAAACATCCATTGATCCCCATGTGCTTGCGGACTCAGACTCAACTTTTGTTGGAAAAGTTGGTCCAGTTCGTTCATTTCCCTCTCGCGGCGCAACTCCTCGGCAACTTGCACCCACAGGTTTTCAAAGCCGTGGTCAAAACTCGCCATCGAGACATCGCCATCAAAGGCGCTGTCGTCCATAACATAGGAATATTCTCGTTTGTAGTCGCACATTTTGTTTGATTTCAAATCTGCAAAAAAGAGAAAAACTGTTAAGAATCGATCGCACAAGCCATGAAGCTATCGATATGCGGCCACTATCGATAGGCTCTTATCAGCGACCAGCTGATTGAGTTTTTTTGTACACAAAACATCTTCTGCTGTCTCCGCCGATCCAATTGTTATTACTTTTAACCTGTACCTCCAACAATTTACGCACTTCGCCAATATTCAAAATACAAAACTGAGCCGGAAATGTCGCGTAAAAATGTCTTGAACTTGATCAATACGATCGTGTCCAATTCGTAAGCTGATGTTTAAATAACTTGCATGTACAAATTGTTTAATTAAAACCTGCCTTATTCCGTTGTAGCTGCAAGTGCCCCGCCCACTCACATAACTATGGATCAGCAGCGGCCACGGGGATCCAGACGGGACAGAAGGAGTACGCCTTCGAGGCAAGTATTTATGCGTAGGACTTTGGACCTCACGCAGATAGGAGATAATCATCTCGTTGAGACTGTAGCTGATACGTAGATCTACCAGACGACATCCAAAGTCCAAGGCAGATAATAAGCATTAATTGTTTCGTTTATGTTTTGGTAGATGTCTGCCTCGACTGTGCGCTTTGGACCTGGTGTGAGTGTTGAGGTTGGCGCAGACCTGCGAAATTTGGGTGCCAAGAAGGTCTGTCTGGTCACGGATAAGAATGTAGCGAAGCTGCCGTCAGTCAAGGTGGCCTTGGACTCCCTCAGCCGCCATGGCATAAACTATGAGGTGTACGATGAGACGCGTGTGGAGCCAACGGATGGCAGCTTTTGGCATGCCGCAGAGTATGCGCGCCAGAACGAGTTCGATGCATTCCTGGCCATTGGCGGTGGCTCAGTCATGGACACGGCCAAGGCGGCCAATCTGTTCAGCAGTGATCGCGACGCAGAGTTTCTGGACTATGTCAACAGTCCGATTGGCAAGGGAAAGGAGGTGATGTCTGCTGCAAGGAATGACAAGTTGAATGCTGTCTAAGATCCCCGTTTGCCCTGTAGATATCCGTAAAGTTGAAGCCCTTGATTGCTATGCCCACCACCTCAGGAACTGGCTCCGAAACCACTGGCGTGGCCATCTTTGACTATAAGCGATTGCACGCCAAGACAGGAATCTCCAGCAAATACCTCAAGCCGACTCTAGGTAAGCCATGAACCAAGTCCGCAATTCTCAAACTTTTCACATATTTTATACCCTCAGCCATAATTGATCCTTTGCACACCCTTTCGCAGCCCGAGAGGGTAATGGCGTTTGCCGGCTTCGATGTATTCTGCCATGCCCTGGAGAGCTTCACGGCAGTGGACTATCGCGAGCGGGGACCAGCGCCGAGTGATCCGAGTCTGCGACCCACCTATCAGGGGAGGAATCCCATATCCGATGTGTGGGCGCGGTTTGCCCTCGAGACGATACGCAAGAACTTCATCGATGCCATATACCAGCCAGACAATTTGGAGGCTCGCTCCCAGATGCATCTGGCCTCAACAATGGCCGGAGTGGGCTTTGGCAACGCTGGGGTGCATCTCTGTCACGGACTGTCCTACCCCATTTCGGGAAATGTGAGGGACTACAAGCCAGCTGGCTACCTGGCCGACCATGCGCTCATACCGCATGGCCTCTCCGTTGTGATCAGTGCGCCCGCGGTCTTTGAGTTCACTGCGGCCGCTTGCCCCGATCGCCATCTGGAGGCTGCCAAACTTCTAGGCGGTAAAGCAGACGGCGTTAAGGCAGCAGATGCCGGTCGCCTTTTGGCGGACACTGTACGAGGCTTTATGCAACGCGCTGGCATTGAAAATGGCCTCCGCGAACTCGGCTTCTCCAGCAGCGATGTGCCCAATCTGGTCGCGGGCACGCTGCCCCAGGAACGGATCACTAAATTAGCACCTCGCGCACAGACCCACGAGAACTTGGCCCAACTCTTTGAGAATTCCATGGTGGCTTATTAAATTAATGGGCTCTGCACTTACCCACGCGCCTGGCCTGTTCGCTTGAAGAAAAAGTATAAAACTAACGGGTCCATGCAGCCAAGCTTTGGTCTCACTGCAGCTCAAGACAGGCGAAGCTTTTAAAGTTTCCAAGTGCATCCAAGCATAGTATATTTTTACATATGTTCCTATACATATGCGAGTTGTAAAAAATACCACAAGCAGATACAAATCACAGATATATATTTAAAGGAAATTGTATTTGTTAATACCATTTAAAACGGCCGCCCTCTTCTCTTTTTGTTTGCTTTGTTCGTCAGCTGTTTTCCCAGGGCTGCCCACTTTCGATAAACAAAGATAAGTATCGATAAGTTTGAGTTGCAATTGAAAATTTGAAAACCCTGAGTGTGTTTTAAATGATAGATTAAATATTGGAAACTGTATGAATGTTCAGTAAAGATCGAATAAAATGTAACGTCAAGATGGACCGGATTTAATATAAGCGAGATTCCAGCGGAAATTGTAGTTCAGATGATAAACAGATGCAATCTCCTCTTCCCGCTCAATGCTGTGCATTCATTCCATTGTATAATTAATAAAAGAAAAGATTTTTTATTTTATTGAACCGCATGTTATATTTAATACGTAGGTATATTAAAGATTACGATCGGTTTGGTTAAAATAATTTATTGTTTTCGGAATTGGTTTCAAAGTCAAAGTAAGTCAACCGATTACTTGATTTGATGGGAAAAAATGATAATAAAAAAGGGCTTAACTTAGTTTTTATGCATTAATTGTTTCGCTTGTCTGTTCCGTTCAGATTACAAATCAGACGCCATTTGAAGGAGTCCTCTCTAACAGTTTCTACACAGATCCGGATCTAAACTCCTACCGCAATCTTCTGGTTCCTCGCTACTATTAATCCTGCCTCCTCCTGACTCGTGTTTAGTTTTGAAACAGTTTGTTTGAATTTTGGCAAAATGGCACTAAATCTTCAAGTTTTTCGCGAAATTCTCTTGTTCCTACGTTTCGATGCGGCTTCAGCTGGGGTAATTAAAGGGTTTTGGTTATGGGAGATTGGGATATTGGGATATTGGGGCGGCGGCTCAATCAGTGGTAAGTCCGTTGCTCTCGAAACGGCTGCTAATCGAGCTCTGTCTCCGTCCGGCAGCGTTGCCCAGTTTCTGCTGAGTTGTCCCCCACCTGGGAGGCGACTGCAACAGGATTAAGTACAACATTTTTGCAGCTATTTCATACATTTTAGTATAGGGTTTAGAGTATGGAATGGAATTGTTATTTATCATTTACTCTTTTCTCATTATTATTTTTGGATTGAAGTATTTCTCAGTTTTTGCTTTCAGTTTCCTTTTCATTTTCGCTAATACTTTTGCTCCTGACGCTGGCGGTGGGGTCCGACAACGGGTTCTGTGTGCCTTCATGCGTTCGTGTGTTTGTTTGTGTGTGTATGTGTGTGTGTGTGGGTGTGTGGGTGTGTTCCATTGGGGGGTGGTGACCATTTTTGCTTTCCACTTGTTCAACTATCAATAATCTTATAAATTAGAAAAACAGCGCAACTCGACTTGGACTTCCGCCAAGTCCTGCCCGGAACTGCGATGACGATGGAGCGAAGGACCTTAGACCTGATTGATCGGCGCGTACCGGTGCACCTTTGGTTGCTTCGGCTCCTTGCTGGCGGGCTTCACAATATCCTCGCTGAGCTTTTGGTAAACGAAGGAGTTCTTCGAGGCCAGCAGGGCCATGCGGTAGCGTTCGCCGCGCTTTCGCAGCACCATAATGACGACCTTGGCAATGGCCAGCAGGATAAGGACCACGCACGAGACCACGAGGATCATTGGGATCAGGAAATTGTAGCCGCCATAGTAGATGTGGCCGCGCTCAATGAAGATCTCCTCCATATCCGAGTCGTCGTTGAGCACTCCGAATTTCTCTGAAACGGAATTAACGGAATCTAAGGTCAGAGGCCACTCCATGTCTGAGTCAAAGTTTAACTCACCCAGCAGGAATTTGTCACGTGTCTCCTTGGACATGTCGATCTCCTCCACCTTGAGGCCATGGTTCTTCAGTTTGGGCTTTAATTCCTTCTCCAAATACTTGTCAAAGTCGTTCTCGGTCTTGGTCTTGGTCTTTGTCTTATCCTTGGCATCCTCGAGGCGCTCATCATCAGCTGCGTCGTCAGCGTCATCGTCGTCGGCGTCGGCGTCATCATCATCATCGTCATCCTCTTCGCTGTCATAGTCAATCTCGGCGTCATCCTCCTTGTCCTCTCCGCCGTTGTTTAGATCCTCCTCAGCACTGTCCTCCTCCTTGGCACTGGCCGAACCCTTCAAGATCTTCTGCATGCTGCTCAGCTTGCTCTTGTCCAGCACACTCTTGTCCAAGACACTGAGCAGCTTCTGCTCGTCCTCGTCCAGGTTCTTCTCGCTCTCCTTCAGACGCTTCTCCAGCTTCTGCTCCGCCCTGTCGGCCTTGGCCATGGCCCCTTCCTCGTGCTTGCACACCTCATGGGCCAGCTGAGCCCAGCCTGCCTGTGCTTGCGTCTCCAGTTCCAGGATTGTGGCGTCATCCTCCAGATTGGCCAGCACCGGCATCTTCTTGGGCGTCATCTGCATCTGCAGGGTCACGTAGCTGATAAAGTCCTGGAACTCGGCGTTGCACTTGAGCGGGTTGCCGTTGATGTCGAGGGAGCGCAGGTTCTTGAAGCTCTTCACGTCCGCCGAGGAGATCTTCTTGATCAGATTGCCGGAGGCGTTGAAGCTGCGCAGACTCTCGAAGATCTTGTAGCCAACGCCCAGCTGCCTGTCCGACAGGAGCGTGGTCAGCTCACAGTCATTCACGTCCAGGGACCTCAACTGGTGCAGGGGCATGAACAGGCGCACGGACAACCGGCTGATGGGATTTCCAGCCAGATTGAGCTTCGTCAGCTCGTTGTTCTCCATGAAGGTGAGATCGTCGAGCTTGGAAATCAGATTGTTGCTCAGATCCAAGTCAATCAGCTTGTTCAGGGTGGTGAAGATCTCGCGCGGCAGATGATTGATGTTGTTCCAGGCCAGCTTCAGGGTGGTCAGGTGGGGCATCGTCGAGAAGGTCTTGTGTCCCAGAGGGCCAATGGCGCAGTTGGAGATGTCCAGGTAGTAGACGGTGAACTCCCCGTTGTAGCTGAGGAAGCCATCGGTGGGCAGCTGGCTGAGGCGGGGATTGTCGTTGAGTCGGATCACATCCAGCTCGGAGTTTTTGAAGAAGAGCATTCCGGATATCTGGTCCAGCTCGTTGATGGACAAGTCGATGTGTCGCAGGCTCTTCAGCGTGAGGAATGAGTCCGGCTGGATCTTGGTGATGCCGTTGCCCTTCAGGTTCAGGTTGGTCAGTCCAGGCATCTTGTCGAACATGCTGTGGTGCACCTGGACAATCGAGTTGAAGCTCAGATCGAGCTGCTGCAGCTCCTTGATGCCAAAGTGCAGGTCGCCAGTGAAGGCGTTGTACTTGAGGTGCAGTATGGAGAGGGTGGTGCCGTTGAAGATGCCACGGGGCAGCTCACTCAGCGAGTTGTATGAGAGGTCCAGCTCCTCCAGCGTCTCCACGGGCTCGAACACCTTCTCGGGTATCTTCTTGAGGTTGTTCTGGGCCAGGTTGATGAACACGATGTTGGACAGCTTCGAGAAGGCCTTGGGGTTCAGCTCCATGAGGTTGTTGCGCGATAGATCCAGCTCTTCAATGCTAGAGGACTGAAACAGAGGAAGAGGATCAGTGGCGGATCAAAGCAGATAAAAGATCTCTCTTGGAAAACCCACCTTGAGCAGGTAGTGGAGGCTAGACATGACGCTCAGGTCGTTGCCGGAGATGGTCAGCATTCGCATCTTCTTGTTCTGGGCAAAGGTGTCCGGATTGATGATGGCCAGACCCACATCCGTCATATTGACTGCATACAGCTCCTCCAAGCCGTGGAAGGCCTCCGGGTGCATGTACTCAATCGTGCAGTTGGCAATCTTAATGGAGGCGACAAACTTCAGGCCCAGTCCCTGGAAGAACTTGGGTCCCAACAGAATCGGGTACTTGGGGCCAACATTCGTCACCACCAGATCGGTAATGTCTGATCCGAACTTCTGGGTGCCGGGATCCAATCTGCAACATTTCGACACTAATCATCTGGAATCGCTATAGAGAGGGATTCGGACTGACCTGCTGCAGGTGGCCACCAGGTAGCTGTTGACATTTCGGGAGCAGACGCAGTATCTGGGACAGGGAACATTCTCGCTGAACACAACCTGCTCATCGTCGGCCAGGTCATCCGCTTCCCCTTGTGGCACATTGTCGTCGTCGTCGTCGTCATCATCATCGTCGTCGTCGTCGTCTCCGTCGTAGTCCTCGTAGTTGGAGTCGTCAATGGTGTTCTCCTTGGTCTTCGACTCGGCGGAGACCTTCACCTGAAGGAGCAACATCGATTTATAAATACAATTTGGATCCTGCATGATTCAAATTACCTTTGATTTGGTGGCGGTATTTTCCACGATGGGCAACAGCTTGGGCTGGCGGGTGGTGGTGGAGGTTCGGCTCTTCTTGGGACTGGTACTGGTAGTCGTCTCCTTTTCCTCATCGAAGTATGTGTAGTCGTCCTCGTCGTAGCCGTAGTTGTCGTCATACTCCTCGTTCTCATCGCTGCTGGTGGCATTCATGCCACTCTTGCTGACGCTGTCGGTGGCATTCTGCGACTTGGGCAGCATCTTGTTGAAGCGCGGATCCTCGGCCAGAGCCAGGCTGTGCTTGGAAGCCTCCATCAGGTCCTTGAGCGTTTCCTCGCTGATGGCCTGCTGTGTGGTCGCGGCCACCGCCTCCTTCTTGGCACTCTTCGTGGTCGTGTCCACTGGCAGCTCCTTGCCCCTGGGCGTGGAGATCTTCAGGCTGCTCTTCTCCGCCACATTCACATCCTCGCTGGAGCTCAGCTCGTTGTCCATTATGTCATCGTGGATCAGGTGGATGCTCGGTTTCAGGGTGCTCGAGTGGCTGGCCCGTAGCGCCCCAAGGCACACGACCAACAACAGCACCAGTCTCGCCTGGCGACCCATTCTGAGATTAGCGGATGAGCAAACTGCAATGGACCAATACGATTTTTGTACAGTAACTACGCAAAGTTGGGGGAA